CATAAGTCTAGCGAGATTTGGGTTCGACCCTGCTCAGAAAGTTGGCAGTCCCACGCCCGACAACGTAATCGACTTGTGGACAATTTGCAAGCTTTATTAGGGAGAGCATTTAGTTGATTTGATTAATCCTACGTTTTTGGGGTTTGGAAAATCAATGCAAGGTGGTCTTTTATGTTTGTTAGGAAAAACCTTGGGTCATACTTTCCAGGTCTTTTCGATAGGAGTTTTTGAGAGCTGATCCATTCTCCTTTTCGGTATTTTAGATGGATCAATATCTCCTCTCTCTCACCCCATTTTTATTCTTTTTTTTCCGCTTCTTGGTTCGATTTTCGATGCTTATGTCCGACGCATAAATGTCCACGTATAGCCTTTCGCTATACGTGAAACCATCAAGCAAGGTCGCAAGTAGTTTCTTTTGGGGCGTAGGGTGGTGATGATAAAGGCACACCGAAGATAGAACAAAAAGATGTCATATCTTATAACATCAAGATCCAAGTATTTGATGAACAATAGGATAACGGTATCCTTCACCGACATAAGTCTAGCGGGAGTTGGCTCGAACCTCCTTAAAAAGTTGGCAGTCCCACGCCCGACAACGTAATCGACTTGTGGACAAAAAAAAAATGTTAAAACTTATTTCAAAAAAATAAAAAAATATATTCTTCGCTATAAAATAAAATTTGATAATCCCTTTTCTTTTGAAAACCTATGTGTATGTCAAAAACATAAATTTTATGAATACATTTTTAAAAATCGATTGTCCGTCTGACGAATACCTGTTTAGGCTGGGAAGTAGCCCCCTAGGGGAGGGCCAGGCACTTTTCTAGACGAGTGGCGGGTTTTATACATTCGGATGACCGAGTAGCCTTCGTGGACCCTCGAGTACATATACATATATCTGAGCCTAGCCATACACAAGTGCTTGCGGTCCCCCTTACCTGAACTTTTTGTTTTATTGAAGCTTTGGACAGAGCACTCGTGTTTCTTTTCTTTTCTTCAAGATTTCTCCGAGATTTTTGAAGATATTTACTCGAGTCTTTTCTTGTTGATGTTCTCGAGTTTTCGACCATGAATCGTCGTTACACTCTTCTTTGGATTTTCCGGATGGCTTTTCTTCAAGACTTCGCTTTTTTGCAATACATTTCAGCTTGCTGCATTTAAGAAACAACGGATCCCACGGGCATACAGATTTGTTTTACATTTACAAAATATTATACTATTATTGTTTATACTTGCTACTACCCTGTACAACATGTTATATTATTCTTTCTACTATATCTGCTACTGTTAGGTACAACATGTTAAATTATTCTTGTTTCTACTTGCTATTGTTCTGTAAAGCATGTTATACTGTTCCTTTTACTGTACTTGCCACCACTCTATATAGCATGTTATATTGTTCCTTCTACTATACCTGCTACTGTCATATATGGCATGTACACTGCTTCTTTTATTGTGTTTTCTACTGCTTGCCCTGTACTGCACATTTTATATTACATAGCCTTAAGCATGCCTCCTTTCCATATAGGATGTTTAGAGGACTATTATCATAGGGTTTGACATCATAACTGGACACCCTAGAAAACTTAAACTAGTCACGACAAGGGGCTTGGAGTTAGCGCAGTGGGCAGCACGACCATCTTCAACAGTAAAACATGTCTTCCCAAGCTAAACTATTCATTTCCTAGAATTTAAAACAACAATTCACAGGATTTCGAGGTTGTTCACCTAGCGCAACATAAATCATGAGCCTTTTCATTAGGTATTCGTATGTCTCTGCTGTACGATCTAAGCCCTAACTTGTTTTAGGATTCCGAGGTTGTCGTCTTTTACGACCTAAATCCTCACATCTTCCAGGTTATTTGTGTGAGTGTTTCACACAAATGTAAGCCTTAATTAAATAAAATTGGCAGGATAAAACACTTGAATATTCCTCCTCGAAACTGAAGTCAAACCATAGGGTAGACTGGGAAGCCACCGTGGATCTCCTCTGAATCTGTGGCATCCCCTAGTTCCTTTAATTTCGTTGAAAAGTCCTATTCTTTTGAAGTCCTTGAAGATAATTTTTCCTGATTTTTATCAAGAGTATTCTTAACTGATTTCGGTCATTTAAGATGTAATTAACTATAGGGGTTTGCCCTTATAGGGAGTTTTTCCGAACAGAGCTTAAGTGAATCATTTAATAAAAGTCTCAAGTTTGAGTCATTCTCTTTTGCACACCTCTTTGTCCAATTTCGTTGAAAAGTCAATCCTTTTGAAGTCATTGAAGATAATTTTTTCTAATTTTTATCGAGAGTATTCTTTAGTGATTTCGGCCATTTAAAAAGCCTTATTTAATTTTTCATATTAAATAGGGGAATTCGGCAAATAAAACGGTTTCGCAAACCAAACGGACGTCATATATATCTTAGTTTATCTGATCGAACCTCATCCTCAAGTCTTATGTTTATCCCTCGGGATAGATATAGAATTTGAGGTAAAACGCTCTTTCATTTAAACTATGAAAAATATGGGGTCAGTTTGATTTTCATATATGATTTTAAACTTAAATCTATATGTAAATTAAAGCGTCCTTCCGAAACGGGCGACGGGATTTCGATTCCGGTGACCGACAGCTTCCACGGGCGACTCCTCCCCCAATCCACTCATCCACCATTTTCCCTGCCGACAAAGTCAAACACAAACCGAGCATGAAATTGCTCAAGCTTGGCTTGTTTACACCTTAGCTCCAGATAGTGGAATGGGTCTTTAAGTATAAAGATATTCCACCTGACAAAAGGGTGAGACTTAGTTGTTATTAAGCTAAGGAAAAATGCATTCTTGTTGTGAAGCATCTCTGATAGCGGGAAGGCAAAAGTAAAATCACTACCTGACCCAAGATGAAATATGAGATGCAACACAAATAACTAACAACACGCTACAAATAGGACATTCTTGAAGCTTCATTACTTGCAACAGCAAGATCTCGCAGTAGAATAGTAGACCACTGAGTTCGAGAAGCATGTGTTGAAGTGTGAACAATTAGAGCCAAAGGAG